CAACATTTGTTATAAAACATACATAGAAAGCAACTCAAACGCAATAGGTGCCCTTAGGATCATTGAAGTTGCCTGAATCGTAAGATAGGTCTACACTAAATATGTAAACCCTTTCATTTCTACATCTTTTAAATCCTTTGACATGAATCTAAGGCCGCCCCCGGGTTCATTGTTCTATGCTGGTCATTTTTTATTTATTCAAACATATATTAATACATATACAGTTTATGTATGTAATGTTCATAGTCAATGTTGCATTTTAATGTATGTGGAATGAGTTGGAAAGGAATTAAGGACTATATTTTTAGTGCTATTAGAGCATAGAATGGGTTGCCTAAGCTAGCCTGGAGAAACCAGTGACTTGGCAGAATTTAGATCATTGGTTAATATGCATGACTGAATGCATGACGCGTAGGGACGTAATCATCTTCTTTTTTGAAGTAACGTCTGTATTATATAAGATAAAATATCCACTAGACGTTGAGATAGTGTGCCACTTCATTGAATTCATAAAACAATCCGCGAATGTGTCCGCTACATTGAGACCAAATACTGAGCTCAAATATAACAAATACTCTCACAAGAAATACTATAGTGTGCCACTTCATTGAATTCATAAAACAATCCGCGAATGTGTCCGCTACATTGAGACCAAATACTGAGCTCAAATATAACAAATACTCTCACAAGAAATACTACCACTCAAAATAACTCTGGAGAACCACTTGTAAGCCAGAGCTAAATAATTAGCAAATAGCCTTCTCGTTAGGTCATCATGGAAAATAGCTTTGCAGTTACATGAGATAATAGAGGCAAGGGGAGAGAAGGGAGGAAACTATGTTAGTTGTCGCAGAGAGCATGGGTTATCGTTAATGTTTGGGGAAATTATGTGTAAGAATAATTGCAGAGTAATTGATACTTCCAAACAATGAAGTTCGGGAATGTTTGCTATTTCCATCATTGCATGAATAGTTTGTTCACACTGTAATAAAATGTTCAAATAATAAATTTGTTTCAATGCACTTCTTTATAGCTTGTAAATGCACTATTAACCGTGTAAAATATACACTAGGAACTTTTGTTTTGTCCCAACAGAATCATCTATGTCAGTGGTTTCCAAACTTTTTTAAACTCGTAGACTCCTTGGAAGTCTCCGTAGACCCCTGGTGGTCTATATAGACCACTTTGGGAATCACTGATCTCTGTCTTCGTCCGAACAATTTTTTCGCTCAAATTCCAATTTCCTCCATTCTTCTGGTCTTGTGGGAAAGTCTCGTCAAGTGCAGGTAATCTTGTAAAAAAACTGGAATATCAAACCAAAGTTATCGTTCCTAATACACACACCGCAAGGACCATTGACCTTCTGAAACACATGATTTCTAAATGGTGATCCAGTGTTTAATGTAGATGAGGCTATCCCATATAAATGATTAGAATTCTTTTTTTTAAATTCTTTTTCTTATAAACTTCTGCAGTTTACTGGATTTATCATACAGTACTTTTCAGATGAAAATATTCAGACAGGCAAGCACCATAGTTTCTTTTTAGAATGTTAGTGTACTAATTATTTAATGCAATTATAAAATACAATACAAAGTTACACTATTCAGTACACAGATTATCAAATGAATTACAACGAGTCAAGAAGAGCTAGACAACCTCAATTCCCATTTGAGTAAAGAGTTGAGCGATTCAAATCGTCTCTGTCGAATTACTGGGCAAAATAACCCTGCTGTAACACCATACAGATCAAAAGTATATGGCTTCTCAGATCTGCCGAAAACAAAATCAGCAAAGTGTGCCACAGTCTGCAAAAATATGAGAGATGGTTTCCTCTTCTTTCCAGCTGAGCTCTGTACGACATGGGTTGTGCACACTCGTCGGTCGGGGTATACAAGAAATGCTGACATTGATCAGTCACCGACCTGGTTAGTGAATGATCGAGCGTCTTCCAAATCAGCAGGCCCTGAACTGGTGGTATCTTAAGTCTCCTACTCTGTTCCTCTGTCGTGGAAGATCATACGAGTAAGTGGCTGAATGTGATAGTACCATAAAATTCGCTTCTTGACGTCTGGCACCTGTATACATGATGCAACGCTTTCTTACGGAGGTGTTTAATCTCCATTCTCGAAGAGGCATCAGATACTCGGGTTAGATAGATGGAAAATTCAGACAAGGTCTCAGAGATATGGAGGCAGATCGCAAGAATGTGTGGTGGCAGCTCAAGACAGACTAATTTCAGAGCCGTAAATTGTTCAGTAGGCTCATACTTTGGGCGATTCATAGAACATGGCACCCGGGTGAAAACGATAACTTGAGGAAAATGGCTGGGATTCCCGGTGTGCTCGGCTTTCGGCCATGTGTTCTACTACACGCACCCGGAGTGCCGATTACGTCGGAAATAGCAAAACGTTTTACATAGGCATTGACTTGGACCTTTTCCATCAGAGCGATTTGTTTAAGCAGGCTTACACGCTTAGAGTTCGAATAGTCTTCGGCCCAACAATCAAAAGGTTCAAAATACACATTGTAAGGGTCAGGATGTCCTTACAAATCCCTAACCGATTCCTTTCACGAGTTCTAAAAAAAGTCTCAGGAAGTCGCTCGTCACGAAGAGTGTTTCACATAAAGGTGTCCACAGATGGACTTTTCTCATTGGTTATTGAAAAACGTGTTGTTACCAAGCATATATTTAACTCACTCCGTTTGTCTGTCTGGATGGATTGTTTCCCATTCTCGGATCAAGTTGAAATTTTGACAATTAATCAAAGTCGCTAATCAATTAGGAGAATAGAAACTCTGGTGACGAAGTACAGTTGCGGACCTATGCTTGAGTGATAGCCAAAAGAATTAACTAACCAGCTAACTAATCAATTTTTTTTACCTTTACCTATCCATAGTCTGTTGGACCGTTGGGCACCATGCAAGATTGTCGACCGTCTATCTCCATTCCTCTTTGTAATTTGTCTTAGTTAGAACCTCCTTCAATGGCAGGCCCGTCCATTCTGTTATGTTGACTTCCCATAGCTTTCTCTGCATCTTCTTCTTTTTCCTGGTACTGTTCCCTGAAGGAAGGTCTTTGCGAACCCCGAAGATCTTGTAATATAGCCAAAGATTTTTAGCTCGCGTTTTTTTTTAAAAAATAGTTAGAATGTCTCATGGGGTCCAATCACTGCAATACCCTGTCTCTAATCTCTTAGTTTGTGATAGAGTCTTAAAACGTGATACCTAGGATCCTTCTGTAGCATCTCAGTTCCATTGCTAGGATCCTCCTCTCTAGCTCTGCAGTCAGCGTCTATGACTCACAAACATATAAAAATGTGGCTGGACCAGTGAGCTCATCAGTCTGATTTTGGTGCCGAGGGCTATGCTTTGTCCTTGCATATTATTTTCAGTTTTGAAAGGGCTGTTGTGGACTGTGCTATTCGGGCCAGTAGTTCGGGTTTTGTTCCCTCATCTGAGACAATTACTCCGAGGTATTTGAAGCTGCTAACACTAGTTAGCTTTTCACCTCCAATACTGATACCCCTTTTAAAGCAATGTTGGCTATTGGTCATAATTCGAGTTTTTTTGTCATTTATTTGCATACCATATGCTGCTGAAGTCTTATCAATGCGCATCTCCAGGTCAGCTAGGGCATCAATGTCATGCGCGAAGCGCAAGTTAGTAATACTTCTTCCTCAGTGCTTATAGTACCTTCATATCCCTCGAGGGCATCTTCCATTATCCTTTCAAGGAAGATATTGAAGAGTGCTGGTGAAAGTAGGCAGCCTTGTCTTACTCCAACTGTGGTTCTGAACCAGTCCCCAATATTATTGTTGAAGTACACCGCACTGGTGGCCTCCTTGAAGAGGTTCAGACTAACTTTAATTAATAAGTGGAAATTAATTCTGCTTTATAGAGAAAACGGAAAAATAAAACTTGCAATATAGAGAGATATAAACCTGAACGGACTTCTTGATTAAATGAAACTTGTGATTTTTATTACAAAGCCTATATCAAATCTTTCTGTCTGGTACAAATATTTTAAAGAAAAATTGTTAGAGCAGTTTTCGAAATTCAATTTTTCTGGGAAGGGGTGGGGGACTCTGGGTGTTTTCCCATACCTGTTTGCTGGTTAAGAAAGAAAACAAGGAATCTATGTATAGTGCATTTGACTAAACTATCTACGAAACACTACTCCGAAAAGAAAGAAACAATGGCTAAACTGATTAGCTTTGATGAACATAGAATACAAAACATGTGAACAACAGCGTGTCTTCGATTCCTAATTAATCAAATTAATTGATCACATGTTTATTCAAACATCGTGAGACTTTTTAAAAGCATAGCTAACCAGCGAGGAAGTATACATATGTAAATTTTTCAAAAATATGACCGAATTATTCCTTTTATTTTATTTGGTCTCTTAAAAGTTGCATTAAACTTGAATATTATCATTGGCAATCATTTATGTGTCCGAATATTTAATCGCAGAAGCACATTAAGAACATCAATTGTGTTTCTTTTATTTTAAATTTTGTTCTAGTTAAATTATTATTGTTATTATTAGCCGCTTTGCAGCAGCACCAGAGTTTACTCTCCGGGGCGCATTCCTGGGCCTTGGATAAAGGAGTCATGGGTGGTCCATGCTTCATGATCCCTCTCTCGACCTTGCTGATGTGATCCAAAGGAACGCATTGCGTTACATTTGGCACCAACTCAGTTGCAGAAGCTGCCGGAGGGAATTTCATAGCTGAAACTCTAGAAAGTCTAGTTAAATACTTTATGATAATTAAAGCAAATAAAAATCTAGCGCTGATGCTTTGAAAGTCAGCATCCCTTAATCTAACAAAAGGGTTTTTTAATTGCATCTTGTAATTGAAATATTGTGAAAAAAGCTAGGAAATAATCTGTAATTAATGACATAGAATCATATCTATAGAAGCCTACATAATTATATCTACTATAAAGTTAATACCTAGTTAATTATCTTGTTTTTATAAAATACAAACACAAAAGTTAAGCGATTTTTTTTTTCTGTTTAATATTTAAAAAAACAAAAACAAATCAATATGAAAATTTCCAAAAATATTATAAAGATTTTAAAAGATACTCTCTGCTTCTATTTAGATACATACAATGCACATAACCAATGACGTCACACATAGATCTAGATTCACCGCTTATTATGACACTAGACATGGTGAAGGTATATGACCTCCACGAGCCAGTGTTTAGATCAAAGTGAAGCCTTTTATCAAACTATTAATCGTGCCATTTTTTAGACCATCTGGCTACCAATACATAACAGAAACATTTATCCATTTATTTATGAAGATAAGTCATCTTTTCGATGAGTTATCGAACCATCTATCAATTCATTTATCAATTCATTTATCAATTCATTTATCAATTCATTTATCAATTCATTTATCAATTCATTTATCAATTCATTTATCAAGCCATTTATCAATTCATTTATCAAGCCATCAATTCATTTATCAATTCATTTATCAAGCCACTTATCAATTCACTTATCAATTCATTTATCAAGCCACTTATCAATTCATTTATCAAGAAATTTATCAATCCATTTATCAAGACACTTACAAAAAAATGTGTCGAGAGACACAATATTATTTCTAAGCGAGCGTCTACAACAAAAATATGTAAAAACCTGTAGACCATTTATAACTCAAGTAAAAAGCAAAACAAAACAAAATGGTAAGACAACGTCAATAACATCCACAGAGAACACTAAACATTTACATATGATTACCAAGGACATAACATGGAGGAATGGAGCGCACCAGTCAGTAGATCACAGGTGATATCCTAACTGCTCAAAAGACTTCAGGTGAAGGCTACCAATCATTATAAATGGCTGACCTTGTACTAAGAAATGTGCGAACTGCGTTTCCTGGTATTCAACAAGAAGTGATCTGTTTGAAGTATTTTAACTAGTCCTTATTTGCGATACCAAATATCAAAAGCTATAATTAGTATTTTTTTATGAACTAAAATTATTGGAATACTAAAGATTACAATTTAATAAAAACACAAAGTTTTAGCATTCTGCCCTATTAGACAATTCAACCTTGACCTTGACGTAGTAAAAGAATGTTACATTTTCAAATACACTTCTGCAGTGTTTCAGTTGTGCAGTGTTTCAGTTCTGCAGTGGTTCAGTAAAATTGTGAGGTCTTTGTTTTTAGACCTTGTTTACTTTTTAGTTTCTTCTTGAGTTTCTTGAGTTTTATTTTATTTTCTTTCTTGTTCTTTTTGCCTTTCCTGTTTGTGTTTTTTAGTTTTATTTTCGAAGGGCTTACTGGGGCGTCGTTCAAGGTCGCCTCGTTATCCTTATTGACGTCATAGAGCAGTCTGCTCTTGTCGAAGCCAGGCTTCCCTCTGCACCTCACATCTGGCAAGCAGCAGTCCGGAAATTTCTTCCCATGCGTGTTTTCCACGTAGCAGTTGCCAGGGTCGTAGTGCAACTGACCTGTACCGCAACTGTGGGTCATAAAAAAACAACAAAGCTTTCTGTCAATAATAATAATAATGACAAAACTGTAGATTTTGAGCACTCTTTCAACTAATCTACTGATTTTTTGACAAATAGAAAAAAAACGCTACCATCTTTGGCATCGCTGTACCACTATCCTACAATCTAAGGAAAAATGAAATAGAAACAAAGAAAATATGTGAACCTAAGCTTGGAGATTAAGCGGTTATGGAAATTGTCTAAAATAACGATATATCTTGTTGTTATATCAACTTAGGGGATAATGACAACTGAATAGTCGGGTACCTTCAAGGCCCTTAACATCCCTAAGTGGATCATGTCCGAGGGTATCACTGCTGCAGACCTGCCACATCACCAGAAAATTTCTCACTGGACCCTGTTAATTAAGGAGACTTCAATGAATTTTGTTTCCCTTTATAGAAGCTCGGGTGGGGATGGGGCGCGTTGGCTTAGTGGTTAAACGTTTAGCATCCAGACCTGGTGTCCTGGGTTCGAATCTCGGTGAAAACTTGGATTTTGAAGTTCTGGAATTTTAGAGCGCCTCTGAGTCTATCCAACTCTAATGGGTACCTGACTAAAGTTGGGGGAAATTAAAGGCGAGCTGGTCGCTGTGCTGGCCACGGTGCTGGCCATTGGCACCCTGCTCGTAAATCGTTGGCCAAAGAAACAGACGACCTCAACATCATCAGCCCTAGAGATCGCAAGGTCTGAAAGGGGGAACTTTACTTTTTAAGGAAGCTCAATCCTGTCAGTGCCAGAGAATGAAAATAAGTTCGTTTACCAGTTTTATTTTATTGGAACATATTATAGGCTCAGGGCACAACATAATAGACAAAAAGCCTTATGGTAATATGAGAAACGGAGAAGTGTCAAAAAAGTTTGAAAAGATAAGTCAACATTTTCTTCCTGAACGTACTGAAATATATTGTTTGTCTGAGATCAATGAAAGGCTTTTTTTTTTTTAAAGACAAGAACTGGGTTTAACAATATAAATATCTTCTCTGTTAGCGGTTCTAAAACTGTAACAAATATTACGCATAGTGTGTCACACATAACCATTATTTGTAAATCTTATTAAATGTCAACGTGGACCAGGGAAAGTTGTTCATTGCAAGTTTGTTTTCTGCCGTTTTAGTTTTGCACCTGAGACGTGGGGGGGGGGGGGGGGGGGCCGAGTGGCAAGGCGCTTGTTCAACCGAACCCAGAAGTCTCGAATTCGATTCTAAACTTTTGAAAATTTAAGGATGCCCCAGAGTCCATAAAGCTTTGAAGGGTCACTGCAATACTATTGGGGGGGGGGGGGGGGTGCAAGTGGCTGCAGGGCCGTTGGTTTCTGTGCTGGCCACATGACAACGTCGTTAGTTGTCGCCCGTGATTCTTAGGGTCCGAAAGGGTCAACTTTACTATTAATTTCACTTGTTTGCTCATTGGTCGATGGCAATTCGACCTTAAATCGACTCTCTATTTATAGCTCAAAGGGCAAGCACTTCGGTGCAAAATGAATTTATATGGAATGTCCTGTTTAATCAGAAGGGAAATTAATTAAAAGCAAAAATATAAAAGTAACAATTTTACTCTTTGTTGGTTAATAAATATAGCAGTAACAAAACAAAAAACTCCAGCTTTGAAATTTCGAGGTAAGGTGGGTGTTATTAATACATTCTTGAGTGTTTCGACTGCCATGTTCACCCCAGGAAACATATAACATGTATGAAAATAATTTATCAACCATATATGCTATGTACATAGATAATGTTCATACTACTCTAGCTTGCTAAGTTCGCTCTAATGTTTAGACATGATCTCTATTTAGAAGTGACTATCTTGTTGCCTTTTAACACAACTTACTAGAAAACAACAACAACAGTAAACAACCTTCGTAAGGTTATGGTCTCGATACTCTCGTTATAACAGTATGTCATTTCCAATAAACCTCTCAATGCATCCCTCCCCCCCACGGCTGCACCCCGATGTTATCAACATTCAAGTGTAGCCCTTAAAGCAATTTAAAAAAAAAACAACAGATATTCGCAACCAGTCATGTTGTTTACTAGGAATCTTATTACTAAAATCTTACCTTTCACAGGTCCAGCTACCCCCATGGCAGGTACACTCCTGACAATCTGATGGGTACCACTTTTCTCCTGGCTTTTTCTGTTCTGGACACGGCCCTGAAAAATGGTATGTGCAAAGCTTTAATGACATCTGACCTTTGACTTATGATCGCGCCTACAGCTGGGTGTGTTTCACCTCGGTCCCGTGTTGACCTGCGTTACGTCAGAACAAACTTGAGGTGTTACTGGAGCAGAAGAAAACTAAATGACTCATGTCCAATGACATTCTTCGAGTCAGTGGCGTAGCTAGGGTGGGGGAAGGGAGAAGGGAGAATTTGAAAATCCCCCCGGACCCCATTTGAGGGGTCTCCCAAATGAGTGTTTTTTTACATTAAAAATTAAATATTAACAAATGGAGGGCTCCCTATAGAGGTGAAGCCCCACGGGCCCCCAAATGATGGAAAATTCCTAGCTACGCCCCTGCTTCGAGTCTTGATAACGTTGCAGACTATTTTTTTTTAAAGCACCATCTTCTTCAGCTCTGACTCGGCGCCAGTATTTCTTATAGCAAGTCAATTAGTACATTAAAAAAAATGTTTTTTCTTTGCTGACTTGAGCATAGTGTTCTTAGAAATAACAGTCGTTCCATCTTACCACAAAATAATTACGTCCTACGCGTATCCTTGTGTCAATCTAGTCAGGGGCTTAGCAGCATGGTACCCGTGGGCCGGGGTTCAGGAAAGCGACGTTGTGACTGAACCCAAACTGGGCTCGACTGTATCTAATGAGAGAGTACATGTCAATGAAAACACTTCTACGCCAGACAGTACACAAGATACACCTGTTCCTCATGGGGTAAAAGAGAAAAATTTCCTCAAGCTTTGGATCTGTCCTGTCTTGTCTTGTCTTGTTCTGTCTTGTCTTGTCCTGTCTTGTCTTGTCCTGTCTTGTCTTGTCCTGTCTTGTCTTGTCATATCTTGGATAGGGTGTGTTGTCTTACACTACTTCACTTCACTTAGTCTAATGCGAGTCCAAACACATCCGATGGTCACAGCAACTAAAACTTGAGAATATTTCAACTGATGTTTATTTACAGATGGGGATGATCGTCTATCCGTCGTTTATATTCAATACACATATTTATACAAGCCCTAGCCATATTCTTCTCCTATCATGTATTGGTGTCCTGCAACGTTATTCGTCTGTCTGACTAAGTCACTACTTTTACCGTCGCTTAAAACTAGACACAATATATTTATTTACAAAACTAGCATAATCTCTAAGCTACGTTAAAATTGTTCATAAACTGTCCAAACGTGACCATCACTGGGTTGTCCATTGTCCTTTGCTGTAGACGATCGAAGTTTTTGGGATTCTGTCGGAAAGTACTGTCATTATTCCTGTGGAAGCCCAAAGATTCCAAGAAATATAAATGGTTATTCATTATTGAAGAGATTACCTAACCAACAACACATAAGACACTTTTTTTTTCTGTCTTTTTAATAGGAAACCTCAGAATTTGCGCTATGCAATTTTAGCTTTATCATCAGAGGAATCCATGGGCCTTATGCCTCTTTTCTTTGCCTCTTTTTTGGGGCTTTATATGCCTCTTTAATGGGCCCTCTTGCCTCTTTTGTGGGCCTTTTTTTTTGTAAGTTCTCATAATTCACAAGTATTAAATCATAAACAATTGAAAAGTGATTAACCTAAAAATATAATATTAGTAATAGAGATATAATTTAATATTATTTAATAGCAAAGACGTACTACCTAACTATTGAAACCACCAGAGACAGAAAAATGATACAGGATCCTCTA